GTAACCCGGCTTTTCGCATTGCGTTTGAAGTTAGTATGGGAAAACCTACTTTTTTGCACTTTCATCCCTAGAGACCACAATTTTGCTTGAACCATGCCACTAACTATGTACAAATATAGTCCAGGAAATGTCTAACAAAGTTTTCCTAAGGATTTACGGTGCTAGAATGTATACAGCTGTTCATATATGTATGAATTAAATGCCAAAAATCACTTTTCCTGCCAACGCTGCCGGTGTACCAATGGCAGGCAGATTCCAAACTGATATAATTTCGGGCTTTCTTATCTTATCAATTTGGTACACAGCAAAAAAATAATTTTAATATCACATCAAAGTGGAGGCACTTCAATCGTGTCAAAAATATGGTGCAATATTACTTGCCAAAAAATACAAAATTATCAGTGCATGAACTGACATTACGCTGATTTTACTGCATTTGTTTATTTTTGTGGCCATAATAATTAAATGAGATCTTCGACATGATTAAAGTGCATCATATTGGATGTAATATTAAAATTTAGTTCTTGCTGTGTATGTCCAGATGAATTATTCAAAAACAATTGCTCATATGCGTAGATGATGATTGAGGGAGGGGCTTACTATACCCCTACCCCCCTCACTCATATCAATGGAAGTAAAGTTTGAAACTGAAATACCTCCGGGGTTTCTTATCTTATCGATTATATACATCGATATGATCAGATTAATTATTCAAAAACAATTTCTCAAGCTTATAAGCGTAGTTAGAGAGGGGAGAGGGGGTCTACTATACCCCCGCGATCTCACTCATATCAATGGCAGTAAAGCTTCAAACTGAAATAACATCGGTATTTCTCATCTTGTTGACTCGAGAAGATGGGAAACTCCGAGTTATTTCAGTCTGTAACTTCACTTTCTTTGATTTAAGTGAGGGGGCGGAGGGGATTCTGTAAGCCCCCTCTAATCTAGCTACGCCTATTAGATTGAGAAAATATTTTTGAAAAACACATCTGAACATACCAACTTTACAAACTTGACTTGAGAAACACCGTAGTTATATCAGTTTGAGACTTTACTTTGATATGATATGATATGAGTGAGGGGGACGGGAGGGTGTAGTAAGCCCCCTCCAACAACAGATATGAGTTAGAGCTATTTTTTTTTAAATAATTCATCTTAATGTTGTGACATGTGCATACCACATGTCATTGCTATTTCTCCTTCATGCACTTTTAGCAGATGACACTTGTGAGAATATGCTGCATAGCTAAATCACACCCGGCATCGAACCTTCAGTTCAATGCTTGTTCAAACCTACTCAGCATTTATGACAAACTCTTGATACATGCTGTTACCATGTGTACAGTCATGGCTTTCGGATACTCTTCCCTTCCCTTTTTAGCATGGACACTGATCGCAGTTTATATACTCGGTGCATCAAGTGTCTCAAATTAAGACTCTGTATGAAATTTATGAAATAGAATAAATTAATTACATTTCAACCAGCAAACGCGTCGTGTCATGTGTAGAGAAGATATCACGGTCATGAGTCCACGGAACAGAACTTCACAATGCACCACCAACTCGATAAGATAAGAAACTCGGAAATTATCTCCGATTGAAATCTGATTTTCATTGGTACACCGGCAGTATTGGCAGGAAAAATGATTTTCGGCCTTTAACTCGAAACATCGATCTTTGAACAGCCTTAACTTTTTTTAGAGACATTTTAGCACCGTACCTCCTTGGGTAAAGTTTGTTAGGCATTTTCTGGATTATACTTTAACATGTTTAGTTGCATGGTTCAAGCAAAATTGTGGTCCCAAGGAATTAAAATGAAAAAAGTAGGTTTTCCCATACTAATCCCAACTAACAATTTTAGCTGCAGATCAGCTTATACAACCAAAAATTGGCTTGTACAGCTAATTTTTGTCTGTATAAGGTAGTCTGCAGCTAAAATTGTTTGTTGGGATTTCCATACAAATTTCAAACGCAAGGTTTTTTTTTTTTTTCTTTGGTTTGTTTTTTCCGTCGATCTTGTTTTCCGTGCTGAGCACCAATGCTACCGACGTGCCAGGAAGGCAGCTCCCACACCTGGACCCTACCTATCGACCCATCAACTCATGAACCGGGGACCAACGGCTTTACTTCCCATCCGAAGGAAGGCGTGATCAGAGATGTTATGCCTCAGAACATCCCGGCGGCGCCGACTGGGATTGAACCCAGGCCTGCTGGGGTGAGAGGTAATCACGCTTACCACTACACCACCGGCGTCGTTCGAAAAGCTGGGTTACAACCAATCGTGCTCAAATTTTGCACAGTTGCTTGGGACTCCAAAAAAAAAAAAACATTGTTCTGAAATAATGATCATGATGAACCACCCATTACTTTTAGCCCTATTCAAATATTAGAATCTTGTAGAAATTGTAGTGGAGCTTTTCTTGTTTTGAAGCTTTAAAACTAATGAATTGAAATGTCAAAAAATTTCCGAACTGGTTAGCTGTTAAAAGATTGGAAAACAAAATAATATTCCATTGATTTGAAGGATTTTGACGTACATACTATTTCACTAACACTATCACAAAAAGCGTAGTTGATAACAAAACTGTTGATACAACGAAATCGTTCGTTTGATCCACGAATACATTTGTTTCTTTCTGCGACGCAATAGATTCGTATCACACTCACCTCTAGTTTTATTTCGTATTGGGAACGAGTGATTCATAATATAAATATGAAGAGTTGGGAGGCAATGCAATAGTTATGTCAACATGAAGCTTTAGTGCGATAATTTATTAGCTAGAAATAGTGTTGAAGAGGATAAATTGATAATGACGTTAGAGCACGGCAGTGTGAAAATTGAACAGAAGTTGAAATTGAGCGAAGGGCCATTAATGCTACAATACTAATCAAGTGCGCACTCCAGACAGCATATAAGCAAGCCAAACATGCACTCTTTTGCCTGTGGATTTGAGGAAATACTTCAAAACCCCTCACTTATCAAGTGAGCTAGGCAAAGGAGTGCACATTGAAAGTTCTGAATTGGGTTGTTAGTGGAATACTCACCAAGTAATCAACAAGCCCGCTAATTCGCCTTTTTGCAATATAAGGCTGATACACGGCTAACATAGGGCATGCCAAGCTTTATATTAGACGCATATTAGCTTTATATTGAAAAAAGGCGAATTAGCGGGCTTGTTGGTTACTTGGGTCACAAAAGCAAAAAAGGTGATTATTTTCCTATTAAATTCCACTTAGTATTTTGTATCCCACAACTGGGAAAGACCTTGAAGAAGACTGCACATTGTACTCGAAATACGTATCTGTCACGGATACAAAGTACTAAGTCGAATTAAATGGAAAATAATCCCCTTTTTTGCGCACGCACATAGGTTTTTTTTACCGAGATTGGCACCACCGACTAGCTCGGCATTTTATTTTACTGGATCTCAGCTAATAAACAGAAATTTTGCCGAGATCTCAGTACAAATACATGCCGAGCTGCTCGGCGATGCCAATCTCGGCAAAAGATCTAGGTGTGTATGTAACTGTGTACTTTTTCGAAAAGAATATGGATGTGATATTTTTACACTAGACCACTTTATTCATTCATAAGCTCCACGATCCTGGTTGGTGAGTCCTCCAATATGTCATCGTGCTTTGTTCAGCCCTCTCTTTCTTTCAGTGGGTTGCAGAAGTTCTAATATCAACTCTTTTCAATATGTTTAGGTGGTCTCCACGCGTCGAGGGGAACGGAATAGGGGCAGGGGTATTAGGAAGGGGGAGTCACGTGGAGGCCGTGGAGGATTTATGGGAAAGGGAAAAGTGGACTTGGGAAGGGGTGTTTTATTGCTTTTAATTGGAAAGGATTCGTGCCAAGGCACATTTGTGGGATTGAGGTGGTTGTTTGGGGGTTTGTTGTATATTTTTTCTTTGTTTGTTTTTTTGCAGAGTAGAGTTGCTTTTTTTCTACTCTGATCTTTTCGTTGAATGGAATAGTTTTTTTTTCCATTCGTGGCATGATTTTTTTTTCTTTACAAAAAAATAAGGGATCACAATATTTGTTTTGTTACAACTTGATAAAACAAATTAACTGCACCTGACTATTTTAGACCAATTGAAAAATTTACCAGCAATTGAAAATTAGATTCTGAAGGAATTACAAACTTGTTAGGTATTGTTTTCTTACAAGCGTTACAATTTTTTCGATGAGTTTGAAATCGTATTCCAAATGGGACATTTTATAGGAAGCTTTGAGATATATCAGGACTACAGTAATTTATGATTGTTGATACAGTACATGGCGATTTTGTGTCTTCTTGTAAGGAATTGGTTCAATTTTACTTATTTGTTCGTTTACAAAAGTCTAGTACAGAATAATCGTTGAAGTGGTTGGTTAATTTAAAAATTCACCAAGCACAAGTTTAATCGTTACTGCTTTTTACCAGTACTAGCGATTCTTCTTCCTTTTTTTTGTGAATCCATCCAACAATTAAAAAAATTCCTCCTCATTACATGTATGCCTCTCGAAAAAAGCAGTAACATTAAATGAATAGGGATCACAGAACAATTACGAACATTTCTACCTTTTTGTCTCGTTTCTATAGTTTATAATCTAATATTTATTACGCTTATGATTCTAAAAGATTTCCTCCTTCGTTTATCATTACAATCTCATTTTTCATGCGTGTTTGCCTTTCCATTTGCCTATTAGTCTTTACCCATTAAAGCAAAGCAACACTCACGCGCAGCACACTTTTTCCACTAAATTCTGCCTTGGTTAAATTCTCCACCTTTGTAGGGGACCATTCTACGCTTCTGTAATATACAGAAAAAAATAATTGAAATGCGATATCTCGTATGTGCGTGTGAGTTTACATGACTTCCACATTCTAGTTGAAAAACGAACAGCACAAACTGTAGGTGCCATCACTCACGGCTTGTATCCTGCTGCTGCTTTTGCTTTGTCTGCCTTATTCTTCTTCTTCTTCTTCTTCTTCTTCGCTCCTTTTCATTTTACATTGTTTTTCATGTTATCGTACAGCTTACTTTTAGTGTGTAATTCATTTCAAAATAATGAGAAAAAATATTTTAGCAGTATCGGCTGTATGTTTTCATATATCGCAGATTAATGTTTTTCCATTTTCGTTTCTTCTTTGCTTCTTGTGTTCCGTGTGTGGAAATAGCATACTTCCAGAACAATGTGTGAGTGTTTCTGAATTTCTGCATGTTGCTGGGTCATATCCGAGAGTTCATTGTGTGATCAATATTTTTTTTTTTGTGTGATTCTAAAATATTTTACGTAGAATTTGAAATATTGAGCAATAAACTAATTTATTCAGGCAAGTTGAAGTGTTTTTTGTTATTTTTTTTATTTTTTATAGCTTTTTATGTTAATTATAGGAATACAAATTAAAATGTAATGTGTGAGCCAGGTTTTGGAAGTACTTTAAAACAGGAATGAGAACAAAGTTTTATCACTGGTGCCGAGTGCAGCTAGGCCTAGCTTTGAATTTGCGATATCCTCGCAACTGTCGAGTACTCAGAATTGAGGTAAAATTTAAGATGGATGTTCTCATTGACCAGGTAGAATACAACCTTCTGTTTTAGTTTTCTTATCCGGAAGGTCGACAAAAGGTTCATGGAAGATTTTCGAAGGAGGACAAGCAATGAGCATCGTCCTACTTTCCAACTGTTGTCAGTTGTTTTGAAGGGTAGAAAATCATAATGCAAAGTAAGTTATAGTACCAATAAACCAGAGTTGTCTTTTGTTTTCATTTTGCCTAAATCAGGAATATTTGGGAGAAAATATAGAAAGTAACTAAAAGCGTATTTTTTGCACCAAACTTGCCTGAATAAATAAGCCCATTTAGTAATGGTTTATACCTGTAAACTGAAGGTTGCGATACTTCGTACCGCATAATTTACTTATTGTTCTTTTTGTTTTAACGAATAAACACTCAACATTAGATGTTTGCCGGAAATAAAACGATAAGTTTTCCTCTTTTTCAAACCATTTACTGGATCGAAAATGTACCTAAATTTGGTATGTCGGCTTCTCTGCATTTGTCGCATGAATAGGGGGGAAATAGCATTGCTGCAAGTGTGTGAGAATTACTATCCTGTAGTTTACGTGTTCAAAGTCTGGTAATATCTGTGATTATGTTTGAATTTCTTTACGCTGCTTAGTTGCTATACAATATTTACTTCTTTTGCTCAATTATTTTGCTATGGTAGATTAATTTTGACGCTTTTGTGACCCAAACTTTAAGCTAATTAAGCAAAAATAAAAGTACTCCAAATAAATTCTCTACGGCTTCACTCGAGTGCACGTGTTTATTGATTGTTTGTCAGCAGCGTTCAACAATAGGCAGCTGTATATATCGGTCAATGGCTTTTACACTTGCATTCGCAGTGCAGGCCCGGCTACACATACGGTTGCATATTGTCATGCTGTTCACGATTTCAATACTACACGCATCATAGGTGAAATTTAATATAAGAAAAAAAAAATAATAATTAGGAGAGATATGAGATCAAACGAATTTTTGCAGCTGTGTAGTAAAAATCTGATTGAAAATACTAATTTATAGATAAACGTAAAATCTAGATTGCAAATATTAACTTTTTGTTATGTTGTCACAAAAATAGCTCTCGCTGTGATAGAAATACGTGTGTACTTATTTTGATCGGATTGGAAACGAAAGATCAATCAACTGAACAATGTGCTTTGTTTTTGATAACAGTGAGAGTATCAAGTTTATACAATTTCATTCCGAATCGGCGTTATTGCACTGGGGCTAAAGACTATTCTGTTTTAGATTTGCTGCAATTTGGAATCAATTCCTGACAATTTCGAAATGTTGCGATCAAGAATGAATTTGTATGCACCAAAAATTGCTGTCAGTAAAAGTAAAATAAGAAAATAAAATTCCTTCCATCACCAATTTGGTGGCCACCAGTCGACTGGTGTTCCTTATCATTGATAGCTGATGACCTCCAGCTAAGTAGTGATGTCCTGTTTTTAAAAATTCAAGGGCGGAGTTGTCTTGTCATTCACAAATCTTAATTATCTGCGCTTGATGTAGGGTTTTTCGTCTACTCTCCGTTTGTAAAAGTTACTAGAAGGCACACTCTCTTCTACCATATTACGGGTTTTTAAACTGTGCTATTTACAAGAGATTAACTCCTCCAAAATGGTCAACTAAGGTAGGAATTGTTAAATGCACGTAAACAGTGTGAAAATAAGGATTCAACCGAAGAAAATCATCTTTTGTTGGCAAAGTTTTTAAACTCCGCCCCCTGAGAGATGGCCCGATGTCGCATTGATGTGTGTTGCCGGCAAACTATCTCTCCTGCAAATCGGAGTCCAGCTTCGGCCGAGTAAACGTGAAAGCTTGTCCACGTGTATGTCAACATCGTCGACGAACTTTCGACTAACCCTCATCGTAAGCTTCCAATGTTTTGAAGTTGTTTGTTATCAGTAGTGATAAGTCTTTCGATTCTCGTTTTGTTTATATATTGTCACACACACTTGTTCATTCTCTCCAATTCTCGATTTCGCTAATCATCGTTTCTTGCAACTCTTGTCGATTACCCTCTTTGCCTAACTGTCTCATATTGGTGTGTTGTTTCTCTAACACGTATTTTTTGTTTTCTTGTTTGTTTCATCCGTCAATGTTTGATTTGCTTTGCTGGTTATTATTGTAAAACATACATTTAATAGTTCGATTTTGTACTGTATTTGTTATTTTTCTCCGTGTATCCTTTTCTCCGTTGCTTCAAAGTAAACTGCGCAGTTTACGAATTCACGCATGGTTGCCCTATCGATGAAAACTCAATCACAATGTGCAATTAGAGAGAGTGGTTGTAAGTTTTTCGCATTTTGTGTGTGTTCTATGTCAATGTGTTGTGCACGATTCCATGCCAAATGCGGAATGAAGTGTGAAATATGCGATGATTTGACAAATTCAACATTCGGTTTCTGGAACCGAATAGTGAATTTCTAACATCATCACACCAAGTTTTAAAATATAATCCAAATTGAATGTTTTCAGCAAACCAATAGGCTACGTATCGTGTTCCTCTCAAATTGCACATGAGCTGGAGTTTTGTTTTGAAAAATAAATCTTCGATAGCTTCGACAGCGCGTTTTTGGTCTTTGAGATATCGTACATTCTAACTGTTTGTATTTTAATTAGTCATCGCCTCTTTAAGAAACGAACCTCAATCCATTTTCCTTATACTCAGTGAGGCTTCGTACACATATATATTAAATTGAAAACAATGAAAATGACTATATGAATAATGCAAAAGTAACAATTTTCCTGCAACATTTTGTGGCATTGCGACGGTCGACTCAGGGCTAGGACCGCTGCTCACTATCCTGATCTTCTTACTACAATACGAGAAAGTGTGATGAAATGAAACTCAAATTTGGATTTTTTTTTTGATTGACGAATCGAGTGCTTGATTGTATGAAAGTCTTGAAAAATACTTATTTTTGCTTGGAATGGAATGAATATGTTTGTCCACTACGGATCCCTTCAGTGCAATCGTAGCAATGCCGGAAAATGAGGCTTACAAAAAATAATAAATTTAGGATACTAATTTGCAATGGCCGATGAATTGACCAGAAAATGTCACGCTTCAAATTAAAAATAAAACATTTAAAAAAGGTTATACATAAACTAGATTTGATAATCAGAGTTTAGTTCATAAGTTTTCACTCACTGTAGTCGTCCCATTCAGGTTCGTGACTGCTTGCGATCGTTGGTCTGTATGAAGTTTGTTTTTTTTTTGCGATTGGTATACAAGTTTGATTTTCTTCTAATAGGTGGTATGATTTGAAAGAGCAAAAATATATGCTGACTCTGATGGAGACTGATTGATTGATTGAGAAAGATCTATCCTTCATATACAACGCAATAGTCATTGTAGCTTTTTATGTGGTGAATTTTGGTACGACGACGCATATTTGATGGGATCGGATGATGTGATCTTGGCAGCACAAAACGCAATGGTTCGGCAGATTGAATGCACGTTCCGTTTAAGCTTGCACATTGAGTACCATTTTGAGGTTGTGCGTGAAATCAACCCTACGATTGGCTTTGGCCGCAGCCGCAGCACAGGACATTGCTGGTTTCACAGCAGATTTTACCTTGAGCCTAGACGATGACATTGCATTTGAGGAAACTGCCGACGGAGCCTTACTGTTGTAGGCATTTCTAGCATTGACGACGGATGCTGAGGTTGGCTTGTTGATGGATGATTTCGAAGTGTTTAAAGCTGATGATATCGTGATATTGGATGAAGTAGACGACGAAGACGTCCAGTGAACTGGTGGTTTTGGTAAAGCGGTGGGTGCTGGTGCGTCGTAGCACTTGCTACCAGCAAAATGGGAAAAATTTGGTGGCGAACCAGAAAGCGTACCGGGATACGATCCGGTCGAATTGTTGAAATTTGTGCCACCAACACCACCACCACCACCACCACCTGGACTTGATCGTTGACCATTAAAGCTATGATGCCGTCCACTTGGCGAGCTGGAGCTGTAGTAGCTTCCACCTTTACTGCTAACTGGCGACGTGGACTGTTGCACTATCGGTATAGCATTCGATGTTGAAATACTCCTGAAGTAGGTCGAGCTCGGTGACTTTTGTCCCCGACCTCCATTGCCTCCGGTACTGTTAGCAGAATTGTTTCGCTTACCACCGCTACCACCACCACCACCACTCAGCTGCTGTGGACTGTGATTGTTGAAGTACCGTTCAGCATAACTGCCGTTTCTGCCATTCCGGTTGTGCGAGTTCGTCATCTTGGACTTTCACTTTTCTCCCGTTTTTCCTCAGCTCTGAACACTCACTCTGACGTATCAGTCAAATGTTTACGGGTACGAATCCTTGTTTAAAACTATTATCACACTTTATCATTAATTTGTTAAATATAAACTATATTTACTTTGTATTCTTCAATTATACTGCTTCAGTTGATGATAACTGTTTCCTTTTAGTGCAATTTTTCTCGTTTTGATATTGTTTTATTATAAAAATATCTCGATACTAAAAGAAAATGCAGGATACACAACATAACCGAGTGCAGATACACGAATTTATACGTGGTTTTCGTTCCACTTGGCTTCACTGATTAACACTTCAACTTCGTTGTTCGCCTTGAAGTGTTTCACGTATTTATTTTTCTTTCGCTCCAAGCAAACACCAGTAGATCTCTCGTCACAGTGTCTCTTCTGGTACCTTTCACTTTCAACTTCAGGGATGGATATTCAACTTTTCACAAATACTTTCCACAGAGGCTTCCTTTGCACTGGTGCAGGAAACCCTATCACAGAAATTGTATGGAATCGGTAAATACCTCCCTTGAGCACTGCAGCTATCCAAGAACACAATCGTCTTCCCTGTTATATTGACGCTAAAGGTCTGTTTCTTTGTTCTCGCCAACACACTGCTCACATCTATATATGTACATGTGTGCAAATCCGCGCGGGATCGTGACTTGTGTGCGTCAACAGTATAGGTTACACTAAGCGTTCTTCTCCGCAGGTTTGTCCACTGTTTCCACAGCACAAATTTACGTGATGCAAAATCTGTAGGAAACACTTTCAAAACTCGTAGCAAGTGCGTGTGTATTTGTGAGGGGGCCGTTGTCGCGCTCTAGAAAGACGAAAGGAATAAAAAAACAACGTTAAACTCGTTTTGTATATTGAGGTTTGATTGAAGGCTACAGTGAAAAAAAAAAAAACGTTCGAATCTACGTTGGTGTGCGTGAGCTGCTGGCATGTTTTGCTCGGAGGGGATAGTCTACCGTCCATGTTAAACCATCTACGTTGTTTCACGAACCCCCTGGTGTGTTCGAATTTAGCAGCGATATGGTGACGTAAAAGAAACAAGATGGCGTCCACGCTGCTGAACGATTTTCTACAAACAAGTAGCCTCCGTTTTCAAATTTTAGAATAGCTTTCAAAGCTATTGCTCAATTCAAGGGAAAACGCAAAAAAAATTTGGAATTACCTTTCAAAAAATGCGAGCAAAGAAACATGCACTGAAACGACAAGATCAGAATGGCGTTTTCCTTTTGCGCTTCGGGCTATCACACTCGCTCTGACTGGATTTTCCAATTTTGTTTTAATTTGAACATCAAATTACGTAGATATTACTATTTTATCTCCTCTTCGTCAATCACATTCAATTTTAACACAATCAGAACTTCTAGAATTACTGTTTTTCGCCTCTAATGTTGAGATGTTAAAAACTACACTTATGGAGTTAAGACTTTTTCTTAGACGTGACTCCTCGAGATGCATTTAAAAAATCGTTTACCAGACCAACAACAAGCAAACTTTCTAAAATATTTCCAAATTCACGGTTTTCACTAGATCTCCTAGACACTCACTGACTCTTTTCCAATCTTTTCCTACTGAACTGGACGAGGGAGGCCTCACGATCTCTCCACTCTCGCTCTCGTTACTGTGATCTGTTCACATTGACTCTCTTCTTGCAACTGGCAAGGTTGTGAACGGACGAGCTCAATCGACCCGTTCTGCTGGTGGGGATCTGTTTTTCGTCTACCTACTGCTTGGGATTGCCCGATTCGAGTTGGTGAGTAAATTTCAACACCAGATGGTGCATAAGTGGTATAAATGATAACGTTTGATTTGGATTTCCAGTCACTCCTGTTAGCTTTTTAGATTTACTTAATTAGCAATTAACAATCCACGAAAATGTATGAATCAAATTAACCTACTAAACGCCAATTATCGACCGTTAATGCTATGCTACAACTGTACAATTCAATATCTTCAATGGGATATACTCACCAACATCTTGTTACGGCAGGCGTTAGCAGGCGTTAGACGATGGGCGTATGAACGGGCGAAAAAGCTCGCTCGCGCCCCACCAAACCCGTACATGGAGCAGCGAGAGCTTTGCAATTTATTGATGAAAATGAAAATTACATCTGTCATTCATTCAGTTCGCAGAAAACACAAAGAGAGGTAATGGTCGTTCGCTTTCGTCGACATTTTTTCAAAAAATGGCTATTTATTCTATTCCAAACTGGGCAATCCTTGTCGCAAAGTGTAACTAAAGTGTTCTGCTTTCGTTTGAAGTTGCTTAAAGCCGTGGAAAAGTTCTGTTAAGGTGTGAAAATTGCATTCGAAAAATTCCGATTCAAGCTGTGGAAAATAGTGATCCGCACCTACAAGTTTTGTCAGTGGATCAATATATTGTGTTTCCCCTATGTACATAAGCTGCTGGCGAGCTCTGTGTTGCAGCCTTACATGCCTCTATACATAAAAGCTGTCTTAATAGCTGTTCTGCTGTATGGTTATGTAGCGTGTAATCACATCGATGACGACAACATTATGTTTGTGTGAGCGTATGGAAAATTAAGCACGGTACAAATTAAGTCACATTGTTTTTATAAAACCCAAATACCCATCACGAGAAAAAGAAGACAAAAACATATTCACTTCCTTGCTCTAGTATTTTCCGAAGTTTCTGTTTACCGAATGCATGCGAAAGTGAAAATCACGAAATTTGTTTAGCGCTTAGAAGAAGAATGATCGTCTAGCATGAAGACCGTGAATGGTTGAAATACGAATGCAATGGAGAGAAGAAATTTCAATGGTAGATTTAAGGCCGCAAGTTCCAAGGAAATCGTGTGATGAATCAGAAACGTATAGGAAGAGAGAGGATACAAAACAGTAAGTTACTTGAATTTGTTGTTCACCATGCTGTTTCTTTGTTGAGTGAAGGTATCCTGGCAAGCGTCTGACAATAAAATGGTCGGATGGAATATAGCCGCTGAGCTTTGTTCATTGGAATAATGTTTTACTTTTACGGTCACTGAATTGAGGGTTGTTGTCGAGTAGAAGAATATTTTAACCTTGAGTCTTACCAAACTATTTGGGGTGCTTTATTTTTCAACAATTCCAACATTTTAAGAAAAATTTGAAACCAAGACTTACAGTTTCAAATGCATGGGTTTTCCTCGGCATTTATCGTAATATTATAGTCATTTCAAGAGGTATAATCAACGTTTCCCGATTTCGCCATTATAAAATGTTCAGCAGTTTTGTTCGTTGATTCCATGCACATTAATTCTGCTTTTAGTAAGCCTGACATTTTTGAATTTCGGAACTGTTTTTTTTTAATTTTATTTTAACAATCTGTAAAAAAATCACACATTTAAATATTAACCCTGAACTTTTACAGGCTGGGTTCTGTTGACACCATTTGATAATACTAAATAAAATAAGTACATTTTGTTGATTTATTAGCAACCCAACAAACTATAAAAATAGCACTTAAGGCAACTATTGTAAAACGGTTTACACTGTTTGACGACAAATAAAATAAAATAAAACATTGAATGCTGAATTCAGGCAAAATTATGCTTCTTGAGTTATAAAAATGGCTTATTCAGCTTTTAATCAGTCCAAATTTTTCACTTGAAGTTTCAACATTTTTTCTGCAATTTAAAAACCCAATTAAATTTACTGACTCCAGTAAAATAATCTAAGTGTGTGTGGTGAAATTATTGTTAATTTATAAACGGGGTTTTTCCCTGGATGCAGCCCAGAAAACTGATCAAATGAATTCTTTACCATTTTGATTGTTTTACGGAAAACTTATAAGAACAAATAAGATAGGGGAATTTATGAAGTCTCGTCAATTTAAGCAGCGTCCGCATTTCTATGGCGATTATCCCTGCGTAGTGAATAAATATGAATGTGTTCGTGTGATTCCTTTTACTTGCTGCTGGCAACTCTCGTTGTGCGAGATATATACTGCCGCTCATGGCAAGTTTGTCCCATAGCACAAATAAGCAAACCGAGAAAAACGCGTTTTAAGTTTGCTTTGTACCATTACTTTTTATGTGATAGGACAACCAGTTTGGCTGTTTTCCAAACTTTCTCAGAACAAAGTTGCTGTGCTCATCCAGTATTATTAAAATATAGGTCATTAGTTACCATTTCCACTAATGAACTCAGTTTTGACAAAAACGCAAATAAGACCGACTTGCGATAGTGGCAGTTTAGGCCATCAAAACGTTGTCTCTCTTTGTACAATCATCGAAAAAAATAATAAAAAAATTAATGAGAATTCAAAGCATTTTATCATTACAATCCCGTACCTTATCAGATAAGATTTGGAAATGTGCATCATAAAGACGTTTTTCAAGATGGCCGTGATGGCTGTAGCTGAACGGAGAATGACGGTAAATAAAGGAAAGGAGTACTATTCCATTACGGGTTGGTTTGGTAATTCAGTGCGCAGTACCTAGTCAGTGAGCAGATGGTCATGGGTTCAATTCCATGTCGTTCACTTGAAATGTTTGTACCTTTTATAAAATGCCAATAACGTTTATCAAACGGATCTTACACAGCAGAAAGACTGTAATATTCATCAATGTAATTAATGATGATGTATCAAATAATGATGTACATAATAGCAAAAAGCAGATAAATAAAATACCAAAAAATGTTCGTGTATTCTGTGTTCATTGTAATAAACGCCTACATCACTCGTACTTGTACCACAAACAATTTGTGCACTTGGTTAATGTGAATGTGAATTATGTTTCACTGCGACTAGAAAATCATCTCGTGATGGTTTTGTACCAAAATATCAATTCTAGAAAAGCTTGCTTGTATTGTAAGAGCTGCCATTCTATTTGTTGCAAGAAAACATACTGTGGATGTAAGGAACCGACTCTTTCATTCGATGTTCATGCCATTTGTTTTGCGTGTATGGGCACCACTTTAAAATCCACAAAAACGAAACGGGAGATCGCGGAAGTGGGCTCCCGCAAATAACAGATCACATTGGCTCTCGTCATTGTCTCCACCAGACTATGAAAATAGTGACTATACTCAAATTTGCTTCCATTTTTCAAAAAAGCACTACACAACATCATCGTTAATGTTTGATAAATGTCTGTTGAATGGCAGCAAAACAATAGGGTGTACGTTTGTCTAAAAAAAAATTAAATAGTGTTTTTGATCTAATTTCCGTCCTACTAAGCACAACCTGTGTTTTAAAAATGAAATATTTCTGTCAAAAAAGACTTCTAAATTTATTCACCTTTCCATACGTACCTTTGTCAGTGTTCACTCGGCTGTCGACAAAAGCAGGCCACTCTCGATGTGTGCTACGCGATCGTCTCTTTACTCGGCAGCAACCATTGTGTGGTCCTCCTCATTGTTCTTCATCAGCAGTTCTTTCGGTCGATGCGTCGTCGACTTTGGAAAGCAACCGTTTCGTGATGAGTGTGTGAGTGCTGACCACGTTTTGCGTCCATTGTTGCAATGGACGCGCTCTGACCCTCGTTGGCGTACAACAATTTGCCATACAATGAAACTACTGGAAGCGGCTCCAGTTCTGATGGAGGAGGCTTTTTGGATAGCGGAAGATAAAGTGTTTATTGTGTTGTACCTTTTGACTATAGCTTTAAGATGTATTGTATAGTGACCATGAATCCTCGGCTCTGTTAAGTTAATTCGGTTGAGCCTTATCAAATAAATTACTATACAAAAAAAAAAAAAAAAATACGTTCCTTTGGATTTCATAAAGAATCACAAATTGTTGAGATATTGTTTAAAATCTAATACTGCTTCTTGATTCTAAATTCTTCCAACGAGTTTAGATTTTCTTCGTCCTACGAATAAACGTAGAAAAAAGGGATTCGCTAAAATTCGGTGAAATCATTGATATTATTGTTCTTTTCTGACCGATAGAACGGAAATGGGCGATTACGACGAACTAGCAACTGCACCGTTAGAAAAATCAACATTATACACGCAGAAAATTTTTTTTTAAACGTAATAATATTTGACGTAAAATCAATAAGAATTTCATTTTGTTTTGGCTGCAAAAAGAAATTATTATTGTTTCAACAATCCAGTATTGTTGTTCCGTAAAACCCATGGATTGTTAAATCAAAAAAATTTTTTTTCGGATTTACAAGAGCTTTTATGGTTATGACGTAAGCTGTCAAATTTGACAGCTGGGTCAACAACACATGTTTGTTTTTAAAAGAGATTTATTGTTGATTCCATCATATTTATTTTATGAAGTATGACAATTCACGCAGTCGAAATAAAAATATGTTTATTGATTCAATTATAATATGGCGATTATTTTTATGTTTTGTTTTCTTTTTGCAACAGAATTTCAGGACTATCTGAGACATAAAATCACTGATCTCGCCATCCTTCGGAAGGGAAGTAAAGCCGTAGGTTCCCGGTTCATGAATTGATATGTCGATAAGTCGGGTCCAGGTGTGGGAGCTGCCTGCCTGGCGACGGTAGCATTGGTACTCAGTACGGAAAACAAGATCGATGGAAAAACAAATCAAGGAAAAAATAAAATAAAAGCTGTTTATATTTAGCAACTGCAGTATACTTACTTACCACAAATCTTAATATTTTCGGAAATATTGCACTTATTTCCCGAAATTCACAGTTTAAAACAATTTAATATTGTGGAACGCGGAAAAG